TCATTAAAGGTACCGTCGTACAACTTTTGATAGTTTCGAAATTAGCCTGGAAGTCGCTTCTTGTTAGGCTGGAACAGCCTTACGTCAGTCTCATTTTTACCATATGTGCTTCTCTCAGCCCCGGCACTTTCATAGAGCCATCGATGAAGTGCCGGGGCTTCATTGGAACGTAGCACCAGTTAGGATTGAGCGCTTGTCGAGGAGCCCCCATTTGACGCATTGGGAGGACGTGGTATTCAACAGGTTGAAGAGGTCTTTGTTGGAAGATTTGGAAGTTTTGTGAACAGAATTCTTCAAGGACCTTGGGTTTTGTAAATTTCTAGTGTTTCATGTAAATCGCGATTTCGACAGATTCGGGGAGGGGCGCTAGGAAAAACGTCGCAAAAACATTTTTTGCGTGAAGCCATCCACTCAAAAAGACTTGATCTTTTTGGTTCATCAGGCAAAGGATTGTAGAGGTGTGCACGCATAGTATTTATGGTTAGATGTAGAAGTGTTTGCTAGTGGAACACCATTCTTGTTCCACTGTTGTGGTGGCAGTTAGAAACCGTTAAATATGACACTTCTTGCGTTTCTTAATCAGCAAGACACTTCTCCATTCATTCCTGACCCCATCATTAGCACCATTCGATCCGAAATTTGAATGACTGATCGTCAATGACGGCAATTGTTGTAAAGGAAACTGTAATCCCGTATAGTACGCAGTCGCACCAACGTGTTGGCAATTTGCCCAGTCAACTGCAGTGAGTGGCAAATCGTGGTGCCCCTTTTTCTGGTTCTAAATAAGTTGAATTTCAAGAAGTCTTGCTTTAAAAGCCAAATGGATTTGATAAACTCTGGGTGCTAACTTGGGGGTTAGGGGACCACGGCGTCTTGTACCCTTCCTCTCCAAGGCTTAGTCCCCTGTGCTATTGTTCGAAACTGCCGCGGTACCTCGAAATACTAACAGTTTCTGTGACTAAGCTTAAGGGTTGCAGGCAAACGGAGCGTTGCACCGCCGCATAGTCCCTCCCCCAACTATGTTAGCGCCAAACTCTGTCTTTGTAAGCCATTGACCAACGGGGGAATCTTAGGCCGATTCAGTACGAACAGGGGATCATAGGTCGATGTCACGAAGCCAGGATTCGCCTAGCGGTGCGCCAGCGTCCGCAAAGTCGACATCGGCCTTATGGTGCGGTCATACATTGCGACTGCCTTGCACATCGTTAGTAGTTCGACTGCGAAATAGGTACGTTCGATCGTGCTGTCATACGATCGTATGTTAGATATGTTTTAGGTGCGGTTCGCTAGGACAGAAAGCCGAACTTCCGGTCTGCGTTTTCATATAGCCGAACACACCCAGACTCCCTACCCCCTGTCTCTCATCTCTCCAAGGTGCAGAATGATCATGAAAAGTCCCAGCAGTTTATGCGGTGTTGAAAGCGGAAAAGCCACCTCATTCAGCGACCCCATATATTCCAATTCGCTCAGTTCTGCAGCTCAAGAGGGCGTAAGGTATGGCCGCGAAGCAAATACAAAGAGCGAAAAATTCTTGAAAGAAGGTGAAGAGAACATATGGAGTTTGTTCAAGTATTTACATATACGTTTGAACTTTCGATTTGCTTAGTTGTTCATTCGGTGGTTTTGTTTCAACAAAGTCTGGCGATAAATCTTTGTATAAGCGGTGTTCAGTTTCCACACATAGTCGGTACGACGGCACAATCCCCAGGTTGGAAATGTCTCTAGGCCGGTCACTTGCAATGAATTTCAGTGGTCAGGTGAGCAGTTTTTAATTCATTCTCTTTTAAGAGCTATTTTGAACCTAAGACATGAAAAGTTTATGGTGGATTTGGATGCGGATGGCATTTCGAATACAAAGAAGTTTTTCAGCTGTCGCCCAGAGTTTCTCCTTTGGAGATCAATATGTAATTGCTGAAGCGGTGGTCATAATGCATGTACTCGGTCTCAGTCAACTCGGTAAGCTGAGTTTGCGACACTATTAGAGCAGCAGAGTTTAATATTCGGTGATCTGTTCTCAATTTCCTTCTACGTCAAAAACTCTATGTTCAGTATGGTCTCTGCCACTCTTTTAGGTCTAGCTGTACTCATTTATTACGAATTAATTGATCGAGAATCGAAGAGATAAAACGAGATGTTCACCCGATTTCGGATCACATTACTATGCAGCTAACCTGACCTTCCAAAACCCATTGGCTTTCGAAGAACACGCATTCCGAACCTCATTATAACCACACTTTGAAGGATAAGAATGAGCACCTCACCCCATCTTCGCTGAACCGATGCCATTCTCGGAATATCGACAGCATGCAGAAGTGATCGCCCTGGTTAGCGCTTTTCGTTTCATACTTGTTGTCGTTGGAAAACTGCTTGAACAATAAATTTAATTTCTTTAACAAAACCTAGCATCTAAAAGCTCAAGTAGCTTTTGAAGCGTTTCAGTCTGATCACCTTAAATAAAGCTTTAGCTCACCAGGTAACTTCCAGATTATTTCTACTATACAATACTATACTGTTTTTAACGCGAGAACCTATGCGGAAGGCGAATATCCTCAGATCTTCCCTACCTTCTTTCATAAATGTGATATGGCTCAGGTAATTTGTTGATTTTTCATCATTGTCTTTGTTTAGACACAATCTTTAGACATTACACCAATGTCATGTCATTTTCTGTTTCAGTCCTCTGATATCGTTCACACTGAGCGTGTTTTGTACATTATTTTGGCGAACATTCTCTTCAAGCCACGATCTCCCATACCACGTGCTTCTTGCGTTTCCACTCTCAGCTATTATCGAATCATTGGCTGAACCCTTTGCGGTCATCTCATTACGGTCAGTTCACAATTCTTAGATTTGCCTACAATATAATTATTTCAATTTTTTATTGTCTGTACATTCTTGCAGGTTCTCTCTTTCTGGTCATTTTGCTTTTGCGCAAAGCCCTACCTCCTAATATTGCTGCAACGGGTTTTCGTACTTTTTCTAGTCTTATCAACTTCGGTATCCCATCTCGACATATTTGCATACGCACAGGTAGAAGACAGCTTGCACCTGCTTCATGCATATTTTTATCGCTGTTTGCATTATTGTGGAGATAACTGGTCTATGGCCTGTTTTCTTTGCCAAATCCTATCCATGAAATGAAGCAATGATTGCAGATTCTGTCATCTGCTGTGTATTTGATGTTTCATTACGTCGGCTTTCTCTATTATTCGCGGAATTCTATGCCGGAGTTGGCATCTTTTGCCGGATTCTCGAAGTTTCTTCCCTCAACCGAGGTGAGGAAGTATTGGTGTTATACGAGGGATCTTACATACTATAAAGCGCTTCGTCTGTCGTTCTGTCCCTCTGTCGTTCTGTCCCTCTGTCGTTCTGTCCCTCTGTCTTCTGTCCCTCTGTCTGTCGTTCTGTATGTCTGTCACGAAATTCCCTAGCTCCTCGGGATCCGCCTGGAGGGACCGGTCAAGTGTGGGATGGGTGTTCCTTTTCGATGCTTCAATTGGTGGGGTCAAGTGTGGGATGGGTGGGCAGGGTCTCACGTAATACAAAACACACATCAGCTAAGCGGAGCCCCGCCCACAGAGGGCGTGGCGTGCGTCGAAATGAATTGTACCAAAGACCAAGATTTCGATTTCAGTGAAAAAACGACCTCGAAACTGGGCCAAAAAGTGGGCTAAGGTGTGCATTTGGTAAGTGGTGTGTGGGTGTGGGTGTTGGATTGGTAACACATCGAATTAGGGAGACCCACCCCCGGTGGGCGGGGCGTTCTCTAAAAAAGCAGTGCTTTATGAAAAATTTCATAACTCGGTTGGGAGAAAGCCTACAGAGCAGAAAACAATTGGTGTAAGGGAGCAATGTCTAAGGTGTTTCCTGCATACATGACGTGGGCGGAGGCCGCCCAGAATGGGCGGGGCGCGCTCTGAAGTGTACAGCATTTTCTACAAGCCCTCATAATTCGGGTCGGGGAAGTCTTAAAGAGCCGGAAAAAGGTGGATAGAGGTGTATGGAGGAGTGGAGGCCAGCTATCAATGGTGGGCGGGGCTTGACCAAAGTGGGCGGAGTTTGCGACGAAAATTCATAACTCGGCTCCATGAAGCTCCGGAGGCTGGGGAAAAGGTGGATAGAGGTGGGTGGAGGAGTGGAGGTTAACTGTCATTGGTGGGCGGGGCCTGACCAAAGTGGGCGGAGTTTGCGACGAAAATTTATAACTCGGCTCCATGAAGCTCCGGAGGCTGGGGAAAAGGTGGATAGAGGTGGGTGGAGGAGTGGAGGTTAATTGTCATTGGTGGGCGGGACATGACCAAAGTGGGCGGAGTTTGCGACGAAAATTCATAACTCGGCCCCAAGAAGTCCAGGAGGCTGGGAAAAAGGGAGTAGAGGTCGGCGAAGGAAAGGAGGTCAAATGCTATTAGTGGGTAGAGCACGCACCCAAGTGGGCGGAGTTTGCCAAAAGTATCGCAATTCGGTTGCAAGAGGTCCTAGAGATAGGGGAAAACGGGGTTAGAGGTTGGTGAGGGAAAAGAGCTCAACTGCTATCACTGGGTAGAGCACGCACCTAAGTGGGCGGAGTTTGCCAAAAGTGTCGTAATTTGGTTCCAAGAGGTCCCAGAGACCGGTGAAAAAGGGGGTAGAGGTCGGCGAAAAGAAGGGAGCCAAATGCTATTGGTCGGCAGGGCACGCACCGAAGTAGACGGAGTTCGCCACGAGATTTATTGTCCGGGCCGAGGACCGAGAAAAATAGGATAATGGTTGACGAAGAAAGAGCGCATAGAATTTAGCGGAGAATTCAGATATTCGTATTGTATCAAGCCAAATTTGAAATTTTTCGTCGCACCATCAAAATTCGCCACAGATCTGTGTTGCGCGCGCAATGCGTGCGGCGCCAACTGGGTATGTATAATAACCCACTTGTAAGTCAGTGCTCCATTCCTTGGGTAAATCCGGTTGGGATAATGGTTATACTGTTGAGTTGGGTTAGGAGCAAAAATCCACGCTCGTTCTGGGGGTGTAACCTCGGTTCGGTCACCAAATCTGAGCTTAGCAGGCTTGAAAGCGATTGTAGGAATTCATATTGAATCGAAGTATGTGGCCTCAAGATGGAAACATCTTATTAAAGCTTTGTAACGTGTAGCTTATTAAGTGTTGAGAGTGGAGGAGTGGAGGAAGAAATCTGTTTTTCTTCTGCCATCTTGTATTTTTCTGTTTCGGGAGTAGCAGTGCGCATGCAGAGTACGTGTATTGTAACTATTATGTTTTGTAGTTATGGAGTTGATCGTGAATCTCTGTCTGCGATTGGTACTCTCTTTGCTCATTCCATCATGAAACAGCTAATGACCGACGGCAGCGCCTACGTCATGACTTTCACTGAATTATTATCACTCAAAAGTCAAGGTTGGAGATGTCACTGTCAGTACCATACCACGATCTCACCAATTTCATCTTTGTAGCGGTCTACGATGCGGTTGAGAAAGTCGGTAGCCTTGTGGCAAGAATCGTCTTGGCCCCATTGGAGGAAATGTGTTTCGCCTATTTCTCCAACACCGTCAACCAGAATTCGAAAGTGTTCAACAAGAGCACGGTAAATTACTTCTAAAAGTACCTCAAACTTATTAAGTTGTGCCTGTTTTTTTCTGTGTATCAAAACTGCTCTTACTTACATATATTAGTATAAAGCTTTATTCTAGGATACTCACGACAATTTGGTTCAAAACTTCGCTATTGTACTGCATGTGGCCTGCGTGGCTGGAGTAGTCGTTTCGGTGTTCGGAATTCCATACTCTCCTCTTGCTGTTTATCTTTATGGTGGACACCTGCTCTATGATAATGGGGGTACGTGACTATCTCTTTTTCGTTGAAGCGCTCTAAAGTATTGTTTTTGCAGGTGCGGTATTGTTATCGCTCTACTGTATATATTTGTCCATATTAGCAGTGAATGGTATCACAGAATGTTTTGCAATGGCAACAATGAGCAATTCCGAGGTACTTTCATGGCATTTCTTTACTGGTTAACCAAGGCTGGTGTCAGAGTCGCAATCCGTCGCAGGTTTCGCTGATCGCGATTTGCGCGAAACCTGCGACGGATCGCAAAAATTGCAAGTGCCCATTTGAACATTTGAAACACTGAATATGAAACAAGTGGAATCATGAGCAGTCGTCATTCAGCCATCACTATCAAGCAGAAGTGGCGGCAGGATTGGAGAACACCTTGCAGTATTGATCGGGCACTTGTGATTTCCGTGACCCGTCGCGTGAATCGCGTGAATCGCGCAAATCGCGAAATCAGCGAAACCTGCGACGGATCGCGGACTCTGACACCAGCCTAAAGCAGTATATTTGCATATATTTCGTCAGCGGGATCTGTTTAACAGCAGCTTATAATGCGGATGGTGATGGGTGATCGCCCTCGATCGCTAACCGCACGTGTTTTCAATGCGCGCCCCATTCATCCGACGCATTGAGTGTTGTCTTTGCCAATGCGTTGTATGAATGCCGCAGCTAAAAAGTACGTGTTGAACATTCTCAACGCTTCTATCGAAGCAGTAACGTCTTTTCAAAATTTCTTTCCAACAATGATAATGAAATGGAACAAGCATAAGCCGAACAAGTCTTCAATCCTTTACGGTCGGAGAAAAGCGAAATTTGACCTCCAGTGCGCGTGCGAAGTGGCGCCAGTTGCCACTACATCCTCCTTCAAGCCCCACATTTTGTACGATAATATTTTTCCCTATGGAAGATAATGTGCCTCTCAAAAAAGTTGGAAGCCTTTGCTTACAATTATTAGCTTTTCATTTTCGGTACTTCGTCGGAGTGAAACGAGTTTAGGAGATCTGGCAACAGTTTTTATTTGGCGAAATTACCATTTCCATAGCTTTTTCTTGTAGTGTATTACCCTATATGGAAAATCACATCATGAACATGATGAGTGATCTGCAGCTCAATGATAGTGACTGAAATCGAGCATTTGATCGGGTTATCTTAAATTGGCGTTTAGAAACTCACCTAAAAAGTGGGTTTAAGGAGGCGTTTTTTGAAGTGAAAGAAGGAAGTGCTGACACATTTCTTTAGTTTTGGCATCAGTGAATTTCAAAAGTAGCTGGATCGTTGAAAGATCGGATAACGCCCTCCTGCTAGGCTGTGTCAATCAGCAGTAAAAGTCGAACTCGACGAGATGAATTCTCACATTAGATCTAGTAGCGACCGTATGTAAGCAAATGCATACAAAAGCACACACACAAGTAGCAGCCGTCTGCCATTTGTGCCTCAGTAGTGTTTGACAGTCCTTGACGATTTCAGGTAAACTCTCAAGCTTGAGTACTCTAAAGAGGAGTTTTAGAAACACCTAATCCTTCTGTAACAATCTTCATAAGGTGATATGATGTTATGCAGGTGTTCTCACATGGAGGCTTTCTACTTCTGTCAGCGCTCGCTCATCTTGTAGTGACTTTTGTTTTGTGTACATACATGAAAGCTGCTGGTTTTATTGTGGCAAATGCCATCAACATGCTCTTCCGGATTGGATATAGGTCAGTCATGCACAGACAACTTTACCGCTTGTTTTTTACGTAGTTTTATTTCATGTTCTTTTTCTGTATTTTAGCTTTTTCACTGTTTTCACATAATCGCGTTACTTTTTCTAGAGATTTGGTAGAGTTTTTGACCAACTATCATTTGTTTGCTTACATTTATGTATGAGTTTGCGCATTTATGCACCAATGCAGGCGTAAGTGCAGTAATGTCAGGACATTGAAATCAATTGAAGAAAGAAAAAAAAATTAGAAGTGTCCCCAAAGTAAGCTGCACACAACGATTAGATCATCTTTATATTCACTTCCTTTCCAGTGTGAAACCATAGTGCAGTAGGCGCACTCTCTGGGGCGGTATTCAATCCTTCCCCCAGGGGATGCATCCCCTCTGATTCAATCCTCTGGGGGGACAAAAAAGGGTTGCGTCATAGGACCGCATACCTCTGTGTTTCTACCTGCCAGACAGAGCAGCGCTACTACCCTCCACTGATGAAGCACTCTTTTCCCTGAGGGGTCGCGCCAGGGGCCGGGTGCAGCACCCCTCACCCCAAGGTTAGGGATATGTCCGACGGCGGTGACCGTTTCGCATGGTCGCGTCATAGGACCCATCGAAAAATGATGGGTCCTGTGACGAAACCGGGGATATATCCCCAACCTTGGGGACACATCCCCTCACCCGCGTTGGGTATATATCCCCAAGGTTCCCATCCCCTCGTTGGGGCCTGCTGCACCCAGCCCCAGAGGAGGGGGATGCATCCCCCTGGGTGAAGGATATAATAAGGCCCTGGTGTTAGGTGATTTTTGGTCGTAATCCCGGACACTGGTCTGGCATGCTTGCAAGGGGTAATGAAAAGAAAGAAAGACAGAAAGAATGTTTCTCAGGACAAATGTGTCATTAACCAATTAAGTGGAAAAAACATAAAACAAATGACTTCCGGCACCTTTAAAAAATTCATCATTTATGAGTTCCGAACACGAATATTAATTCAAGCTGCTTTGATTGCGGTACTTTCAGTTGGAGGCACATTCGAAGCTTCTTGGGAAGCCGAACTCCTCCCATAAGCACTATTTTGCCTACGTTTTCCACTTTTGTATTTCTATTTTTCGCCCTAGCAGCAACATCATTCACTCTTTTGGTAAGTATGTTTCATTGCATTCATTAGATTCATACACTATCGGTACTATCAAAAGTAAAGTTCTCTAATTACGTCTGAATGTGAACAAATGTCATTCGTAAAGGTGGGGTTCTACACATGATAAATGTGTAGTAGATCAAACTTTGGAAATTGGCGAGTCACTTTGACATATTATGTATTTGCCTGTGTTTTGTCAAGAATAGTCCTATGCCAGTTGCGGCTTTAGTCTTTCATCTGTTAGTCGCAATTATGTTTTTTTTTTGAAAGAGTGTTGCTGTAGCAGTTTTCCGGATTTAATAGTAATAGAGAAAATCTTTCGCAGTTCTTAATTCTTCAGCACATCGTGTGTCTAGCAATGTTATTCTTTCAGGTCTTCGGCTCAACACCGGGTTTGTCGCATATGATTGCACATGTTGCTATAGGAGGCGTGCTTTTTCTTCTTGTAGTAGCTCATATTGTCAGCACTGACCACGTTTTCCGAATGATAACTCATAGACTTCAAAAATATGCACCATAAAGCTATTAAATTATTTTTCTTGATCAAGCCTCTTTCATTGTCATGATGTGCACCACAGATCTCCTTGTCATTCCAGTCAAATGTTTCACTTTATAAGCTTTAATAAAGCCATATCATTTTTTTGGCTATTGCACAACACTGCATTTGACTGATTTCAAGAAAAAAGCAAGCTATCACTTAGCAAAGTCACACAGAGTAATGTGTGAGAGGCAGTTGATGCAAAGTGGTATAAGTAATCACTCCGATCGTTCAATGTGCTTGCAATTATATTTCTGAAACATCTGTGGTAAACGAGATACCTTACCCACCCCTACCCTTCGCTGTGCGATATAGTCAGAAGTACGCAGCAATGTTCTGCATGGTATCAGACGTATAATGAAACCTTTGGAGAGTTTTTCGCAGTTACTCCATTAGTTATTGTAGTACGAAATGTTTACACAGCAGCTGTAAGTGGGATTTGACCTATGCAAAATAGGTGGTTCCCAATCAACGGGTTCGTCAGAAGGAAAACTGAGAAAATGCGTGAGAGGTAAGGGTTATACCAGCGCAATCAGGGAGGTTTGTGGAGGCAGAGATAATAATCGAGGCATGTAATAGTAATAATCGGGCGTACAAAGAGGCGCTGCCCAAGCAGGGTCGTTCCTATCGTTGGTACTTTTTGCAAAACTTTTACGACCCCCTACGATGCAACCGAAACAAGTACGACCCCCGCCACAAACTTCAACAAACTAGGACCCCCCGTTGGTACTTGTAGCAACGTAGGGTTGACCCTGTGCCCAAGTGAAACAGGTAGCAGGCCAGTATTCCATTACAGAGTGGTCATTTCGCTCAAGAAGCACGTCACCGAAGTTTCTACCACTTAGG